GGGAATCGGGGGAAGGGGAACAGACAAGTTGCTGTCCTTTTGTTCTTCAGTCTAGTTGTGGAGGATGTCGCTTCACTGGCCCATGTTGGTATTATTGCGCTCTCCCCGGCTGAGGCAGATCGATCACCGAGGCCGCCCACAGCGGCTCTTGGCAGCTCACACCGGCTGCCACCCGCTCACGCTGGCTGCCAGCCACACATGGTAGCTTATGGCAGCCCACTGCAGCAGGGGCTGCAGCCTATGCCGTTGCCGGTGACTCATGGCAGCCCAGCTCCAGGTGGAGCTCACCATCTTAGCTCTAGAGGGCAGCATCACTGGCCCTCATGTGGGATTCGAACCGGGGCCCTACTGCTCAGAGCTGGCATCCCAAGCCAGCTCTTAACCAACGTGCCACTTGGCTGGCCTGCAAATCTGCGTTTTTAACGCGCTTGGTTTCCACGCACTATACACTTAACTATGCACTACATGGAACCTTTCTCCGAATGGTCCTGCTGATGAATAGTTATAGAAACGTGACCTCACTCTGAGTTAATGATCTGTCATAAATGCAGAGAACGAACAGCTCTGTATTTTCCTCTGTTGCTCTGCTCTACATTTAGTCAGCATTCAGATTTCAATCACTTTACATCCATGACAGAAAGACATAGTTCTTATGGGAAAAAATACCTTACAGAAGATGAAATTTCAGCAGAATTGTTGGCGGACACATTATCTGATGTTCAGTCAACGCTGATAGTGACTGTGAAAATGACAGTGACTCTTTTATATCTATTGGATATAGGCAAAACAAAGTTGTGCATCCTTTACTGAATTACAGTGACAGTGAACAAAGCACAAACAAAAGTGACTATGACGATGACACACTAGATTCGGCAGTTTCCACATGGGTAAAAACAGATAAAACACCAAATTTAGGGCCATTTACCAGAAACCCAGGGGTGAAACAAATTCCCTCTGACCCAATGAAAGTATCACAAGTAACAGGACTCTTTCTTGGAGACAGATTCTTTGATATGTTGTGTGAGGAAATGAATCTATATTACTTACAAAATCAGGAAAAGTATATTACTGGTTTTAAGGGGTTGAAATGGTCAAATGTCACTGTAGCCGAAATGAAAAAAATTTTTTCAATAATTATTCCAATGGGGCAAGTAGGAAAGATAAACTAAAGGACTGTTGGCCTACGGATCCATTTTTAGATACTCCTATTTTCAGGAAACTTAGGAGCCGTAATAGATTTGAACAAATTTGGTGGTGTTTACATTTCAACAACAATGAACTTCTGCAACAATCAACTAACAGGCTTTTCAAAATTCAACCCGATTTTTTCCTTGAAAGATTTCAGACTATTTATAAGTCAAATCAACAACTTTCCTTAGATGAAGCAATGATTCCTTGGAGGGGTAGACTTCGTATACAAATATATAACCAGGGAAACTAATAAAGTACGGCTTACTTGTTCGTATGGTCACTGAAAGCACCTCAGGCTATATCTTGAATTTAGAAATTTATGCTGGTGAAGGAAAAAAATTACAGGAAACTATTTTCACACTTTTGGAACCTTATCTTGATCAAAATTACCATGTCTACCAAGACAACTATTACAATCTTGTGACAATTGCTGAAACTCTCCTTTCAAGACAAGTTAGAGTATGTGGAACAATCAGAGTGAACAGGGGTCTTTCTCCAGAATTAAAAAACGAATCACATCTCTGAAACATGGCGAAACTACAATTCAGGAGAAAGTGTGAAATTCTTCTTCAATCCTGTAGGGATACTCATGTTGTCAACATGATTCCCACAATTCATGATTCAACAATTGTTGATGTTCCACAGAGAAATGAAGAAGTAAAGGAAAAACCTATTTGTATTTTTCAGTATAATGTGTTCATGAAGGGTGTTGGTGAACACCCTTATTATTAATAATAATTATTATTGTCTTATTATTCTCTCGAGAAAAACAGTGAAGTGGCCAAAGAAAGTTGCATTTTGGCTTATAAATTGTGCACTTTTCAAATTTTTTTTTTTTAATATTTCACTGGGGAATTGGGGGAGGGGAACAGCATTGGGGACTCGGAGAAGGGGAACAGACAAGTTGCTGTCCTTTTGTTCTTCAGTCTAGTCATGGAGGACGTCACTTCACTGGCCCATGTTGGTATTATGATCATTGCACTCTTCCCAGGTGAGGCATATGGATCGCCAGCCACTGGATGGCCACTTATGGTTGCTGAGTGGCACGTTGGTTAAGAGTTGGCTTGGGACGCCGGCTCTGAGCAGCAGGGCCCCGATTTGGATCCCACTTGAGGGCCAGTGACGCTGCGCCCTCTACAGCTAAGATGGTGAACAACAGCTCAACCTGGAGCTGGGCTGCTGTGAGTCGACAGTGACCGTGTAGGCTGCAGTGAAGCTTCAGTGGGTTGCCATAAGCTACTGTGAGTGGCTGGCAGCCAGCGTGAGCAGCTGGCTGTCAGTGTGAGCTGCTGCTACAAGGGGGAATGTTTCCAGAGGTATCACCCTCAAGCACTACTAGGGTCTTTGGTGAGCATTTCCTGAAAATTTCAGTTCATAAAAATAGTTAGTGAATTTGTTATAAATTTTTAAAGAAACACAGTATAAAAGTTGATTTCAATGGTTTAAACCCCGGGAACATGCATTTAAACAAGTTAAATGCCCCGTCCTCAATGTGTTAAAAATAGTACTGCACTAATCAGGATCTCCTGTATAATAATAATAAACCTGGTGTTAGTACGCATACTTGTCTTTTTCCTGTTGTTAAAATGAGTGCTTTTACAATAACTGTTCCACCATTTAGTTGTATCAAGCTCATTGAGTGAGGGTGGCCTGTAATTTTTCTTGTTTTGTTTCAGTTTTAAGGATATGCTGCTTTCATAAAAGAAGTTAGAGCTAACAATTGTCACCCCAATAAATTTTAATTAAAAAAAAGAAAAAGAAAAAAAGTTAGAGTTGGGAAGAATGTTTCTTCTTTTTTCTGCTTGGAAATAGTTTATATGAGATTCAAATTATTTGCACCTTGCTTCCTATAACATGCCTGTAAAACCACATGGTATTTTCTTTGAGGGAAGGTTTCTGGTTTTTCTTGTCAACTTTCGATAATTTTCCTAGGATATTATCCCCAAACTTTTGGTTTTGTTAGACTAGAGCTGCTCACAATATCCTTTTATATTTTGGAGAAAGGTACAGTAGATTTTTATTTCTAAATTCTGTTATACTACTTTAAAAAAATTATTTTGTGTTGGAGAATTTAAACATATGAAAATAGACAAGATAGTACAATGAACCCTCATCAGTTAGCCCTAACAATCTTTAACTCATTGCCAGGTATGCTTTATTCACACCCTAATTACTTCCCCTCTTAATATTATTTTGAAGCAAAATCCAGACATTATATCATTTTATTTATTAAAATTTTAGTATGTATTTCTAAAAAATAAAGGCTTTCTGTTCATTTTTAAATACAATACCATTATCACTCAAAAAATTTAAAAATCATTTCCTATCAAATATCCTGTTAGTA